TCAGCTTTAATTTTCTATTGAACATCCTCACCGCCTGGACGCTTAGTTTACTTATATACGCAGAATTCCAAAAAAAGTGACCCACTAGGTCTTCTTTGATTGACCAGCCCTGATAAAGGCCTGAACTTTGGCAAATATAAAAATAAATATGATTATTTGTTTTTACTATTTTTTATTTTGACTGATCACAACAACCATCCTTCTCTTCAATTAAAAATATTTGGTTTAAAATAAAATTGTTTGATATTTCCGTATGGTGTCAATAAATAATTAACCCTATTGAAAACTGGTTAACACATTCCAATGATAAATTATTCAAATTAAAAGTTATTTGAAATAAAAGCAGAAAATCTTGCTTTAACCTTCGCATGAGAAACAGATGGTCATCCACTTAAATGTCGTTGTTATTTTTGTAGGTATTTCATTTTATTTTTTGTTGACTATCTTCTTATTTCTGTAGTTTTGAATGAGGATAAATATGAAAGGAACAATCAAATCATAGTAAAAGAAATAAACTTATAAAACATGAGAAGTGTAAAAAACCATTGGAGGATAATTTAGAAATCAGAGAAAGCCGAAATCCTGGGAAAGCCAGTTTGTCAAAGAACTTAACAAGTAATAAATAATAAGTAAAAGTTCAAATAAGGGCTCGTAATTTGGATCAGATACAGAAAAACTGAAGAGCTCTGATTTCTTACCTTATACTCTAAATATTCATGGAAATATACCAAACTCTATACATAGCTACTTATTGTATACATTTATTTTATTTTATTTTTTATCTAAGTATGGATAGTAAGTTTAAAAGATTTTAGAAGATATTTTGGAATAATTTCATACCATTAAAAACAAAATTTTGTTCAAAATAAAATTGTTTGATGGTAGCATATGGTGTCAATATATAATTATCCCTGCTGAAAAATGATAAATTCATGCCACAATAGATACGAGCAGAAAAAAGTCTTCAATAAAGTTAACAATTTCAGTTATAAATTGTGTTTTTTGGAAATTGTCTGCCTAATGAATCAGACCATCTAGGATGGGCAGACAACGTTTGTATCAGGCAAAAATCCAGTCTAATAAAAGAAACTAAATAAACGTCGTCAAATAATATGTTAGTGACCTCCCTTAATTTTAGAAAGTCCGCTATTTCGGAGTTCAAACAGGCTCTTGGGCTACTAGGAGACAGCATTATTGTTGATTACAGTTTTGATCTCAGTCTGCCTGTATAAAGCAACATCCTATCATCAATGGCAGACTGCATTTTTCATTAACAAGAAATACTGAAGTATCATATAGCAAAATTTCAAGCCACCTGAAATTAGTGAATTTATACTATTAAAATGACAATTTTTGAAGTGGATTTCCATGGCCTAACATTAGCAGACATTGTTATTTCTTTATTATAAACCAAATACTTTCTTATTTTAAATTTTCAAGCCTCCTGAAATTGGTAAATTTTTCATCGGAAATTGCAATTTTTTAATTTAAGTCTGCCAGTAGTTATCCGCGGCCTAACATATGCAGATAACGTTATTTCCTCTTCTTAAACCAAATATTTTCATGTAGTAAAATTTCAAGTTCCCTAAGAATGGTGATTTTCATGTCTAAAACTTAAATTTTTTAGAGTCTGCCAGCAGATTCATCACACACATTCATTGTAGTTATAATTCCAAGGCTCCTAAAGTTAATAAATTTGGTACCCTAAAGTTGCAATTTTTTTAATTAAGTCTGTCAAATAATAGCAGTGGCACAGAAATGACAGACCGCTCAAAAACAACACCTTTTAGCAGAAAGATTCATCTATGAAAGTTTCATCTAGCCAGTGATGAGGGCTATTTTAGTCAAATTTGGATCTCTTTGCATGGCTGCCCTTTTTGAAAACAGCGGCTTTGGAATGGCAGACAAAGTTTATTTTAGTTAAAATCTTATAAACTTTCATAATTAACATTCAAACCTTCACCTGCGATGAGGTCCGTTTTTTGGCACTGGCTCCAGGGCTATAAGGTCGTTACGAGTTAGTTTTAAGTAAAATTTACATTAGTTGTTCTTTTATTTTAGTTATATGTAATCTTCATTTTTGTTCTCAACACTCAGTTTAAACATATCATTTGTATAAATGTTTGTTTCATTACTGATCTCATTTTGATGAACATTTTTTTATTATATTTATTCATATTATCAAAAATGTAACAATAAATGAAAGAGTAATCAACATACTTAGAAGGATGCCTTCTACAAACAGTTGGAAAAAGCTTTGGACACATGTCCAGAATATGGTATGAAGGTCATCGCAGGGAACCTCAATGCAAAAATAGGAAAGGAAGAAATTTATACTACTCAAATCAATAAACATAGTCTTTATATGCAACAATAATGGACGGCTCCTGGTGAATTTTGCAACAGCTAAGAACCTTGCTATTGCAAGTACTATGTTCTCTCACCAAGACATTCATAAAGGGACTTAGACATCGTCAGAAGGCAGGTCGGTTAACCAGATTGACCACATTATTGTTATAGCTCTGGAGTCAGGGCCCAAAAATCGATCTGATCGCCGGCGAAGGTTTGATTGTAAATTACGAAAGTGTATGTTATTCTGAGTAAAAAGAATCTTGTCTGCCATTCCAGAGCCGCTGCTTTCAAAAATGGCAGCTGATTTAAAGAATATTAGGCCAATAATTAGAGGATCGAAACGGGAAATCCATTGCGAAAAATGTGAGAAAAGTTTTCATTCTTTTAACTTGCATATATGGGTTTAGACATGTAAAAAACAAAATTGCTGATGCAGGCCACCAAGGAAAAACTTTTTACAGCCAAAAAAGGCCTGATTTTTTCGATATTTTTTGTTTTTTTCACCTACAACTCTTTACGATCTATCAAAGCGAAAAATATATTCTTTAATAAATTGAAGAATGTTAAATTTTGCGTCAAACAAGAACATAAACTTTTAATTTGGTTATATAAAACCACGGTCAACCAATGCTGATTTTGACTAAATTTGTCAAAAACTGAGACAAATTACTATAAATGGCTCTGTAACTTGGAAATGAGTTCCCTAAGAGGAAAAACCCATAGAATCAAAGTTGTAGAGCATCAAATTTTGCATTAACTGAGTACTGAAACTTTTACTGTACACCAATTATATATCTCAAATCGAGATTCGTTATTCCTTTATAAAATTTGGTATCTTTCGACACATTGTTTACCAAAATCTTTCGCTGTTGAGAGGTGGAAAAGAGGCTTATACTGCATGTAATAGACAAACAAAAATAACTCAGTAGAATAGACATCCATACTCTTGAAATATTGAAAATCACGTTTATCTTCATTACCAATTTCTAACCATTGGGAGATTAGCGATTTTGTTTGCAGTAAATGACCTACATTAAATTAGTTAGTACTCAGGTGACACAAGATTTGATGGTCTACAACTTTTATTCTATGGGTTTTTCCTCTAAGAGAACTCATTTCCAAGTTACAGGGCCATTTATAGTAATTTATCTCAGTTTTTGACAAATTTAGTAAAAATCAGCATTGGTTGACCGTGGTTTTATATCTTATCACGTAACCAAAATATAAAGTTTATGTACTCGTTTGACACAAAATTTAACATTCTTCAATTTATTAAAGAATATATTTTTCGCTTTGATAGATCGTAAAGAGTTGTAGGTGAAAAAAACAAAAAATATCAAAAAAATCAGGCCTTTTTTGGCTGTAAAAAGTTTTCCCTTGGTGGCCTGCATCAGCAATTTTGTTTTTTACATGTCTAAACCCATATATGCAAGTTAAAAGAATGAAAACTTTTCTCACATTTTTCACAATGGATTTCCCGTTTCGATCCTCTAATTATTGGCCTAATATTCTTTAAATCAGCTGCCATTTTTGAAAGCAGCGGCTCTGGAATGGCAGACAAGATTCTTTTTACTCAGAATAACATACACTTTCGTAATTTACAATCAAACCTTCGCCGGCGATCAGATCGATTTTTGGGCCCTGACTCCAGAGCTATAACAATAATGTGGTCAATCTGGTTAACCGACCTGCCTTCTGACGATGTCTAAGTCCCTTTATGAATGTCTTGGTGAGAGAACATAGTACTTGCAATAGCAAGGTTCTTAGCTGTTGCAAAATTCACCAGGAGCCGTCCATTATTTTTGCATATAAAGACTATGTTTATAAACCTTCGCCGGCGATCAGATCGATTTTTGGGCCCTGACTCCAGGGCTATTAGTGGAAGGTATATCAGGTCCATAATAAATGTTTGTGTCTTCAGAAGTGCTAAAGTTGGCTCCGACCACTTTCTTAGCATAGTCATAGCAAGAATAAACTAAAGCTACTGCGGACAAGCACAGGCAGTGAAGCGCTATGAAAAGAAATAAATGAAAGATCCAGATGTCTAACAGAGATGTCACCGCTAGACCAGAAGGTCATGGAAAGCCACATAAGGGAAGACATGAATGAGGAATCGGAGAGATGCTCTTCTGCTATTACATGAACAGCTGGAGGAGATGCTTGAGCACTGTGGTATGATGATGACTGTAAGGTTGCCACAGATGCAAAGAACGTAGTATACCAGCCGATGAACAACAAAAAAAACATGGTGCGTTGCAGAAGAATATAAGAGAAAGAGAAGAGTGGAGAAGAGACTCCATTGTAAAAAAGAAGAGGGAGTACAAGCACACTGAACTAGCAGAAATAGAGAAGTCAAGGACAGGTAAAGACGCTCGAAAGTTTTATCAGGTAGCCAACAGAAGTCAGAAGCCTTTGCAGCCAATCCCCTTTATGTGTTAAAACAACAATAGAGTCTTTCTGACAGATGCTGAATCCTGCATGGCATAATGTATTTTACATTTTGTACTTAAATGCTCTAGAAGCTGAAACATCAACAATAATAAATAGAATATAAAGAGAAGTAATGTAAGTGAACTTTAGTATAAAATCATTTAAATAATAAATAATATTTTAATATAAATATATATAATAATGACATTAAATCAAACCTGCCACTGGTGTAGTAAATGTTGATGGCAAACCGAGCAGGCCAAAACACGACCAGCTGAATCCATTGGCCGTGAACGTGATGGTCGTGGATGTAGCATTAGTGAAGGAAAGAATGGCTGATTGGGTAGGGGCCTTGCACCTATAAGATTAATCACTTGATGAAAATAAGAATTATAAGATTAATGTAAATTAACATCTAATAATAAATTATTTACTTATTATTATTTTTTTACTGGGGAGGGGTTAACATTCTGCTATACCCAAACTATGGCAATAAGGATTCCACAGATAAAAGACCTATTTAGATCAGAGAGAAAAAGTCGCATCCCATCTTTTACAAGACTATATACTAAAGTAAACATTTTTAAACAGAGCCTAATATCAAACAAATCTGAAATAAAATATCAAAATGTTTTATTTGGCCATAATTTAAAGAAGTAAATAATGTAGATGATCTAAGTGTGTTTTTATTAAACTAATTATCATTATTATATATAAGAAACTTTAAATTACAATAAAAAGGCTATAAACAGCTGGTTTATAATATTTAAACATTCTCTTTTTATTTTATCTAGCACATTTAATAATATAGTTATGATCATTAAAATTTCTTGTACACTCAAATATTTATCATATACCCAGGAACTTCTTCTTCTTGTCCCCACCATAATGAATCTCATTTTTATACTCCAGTTCAGCTCCTATCAACAAATCATTCCTTATCTTAACCTCATCCCACTGAAACTTCCTTCATTTTTTGGTTATTCAACTACACTTCCTCTTTTCAAATCTCATTTCTTTAACCATTTCCTATCCATCGAATTTCCTGATGGCAATTATCCTTTGAAAAAACTGTTTATTATTTAATCTGTGCTAATGTTTCAATAACATTTATATTCCCTCTTCAGGGCTATGAACAAGACAGAACTCGAGTATGAGAAAGTAATAAAACCCCAAATATAATGGAAATACATAAAAAGTAAATTATAAGTACAAGAGGAAGAGTAATATAATGAAAATCAAGAGCTCATAGATGACAAGAGCAAATAGAAAACATCAATTTAAATCAAGGTGTTGCAGTTATTTTATAAGATATTTTCAGTTCTTATTCACATTTTTTATTCTGCTCCATCCTAGTTCTTACGTATAACTTTGTAAACTTCATTATTTAGTTGTATTAAGCTTCTATGCCATCTTGACTTAAATTGATGTTTTTTATTTGATTGTCATTATATAGATAACAAAACTAAATAGAAAACGTCAATTTAAGTCAAGAAGGCATAAAAGATAAATAAAATTAAGTTTACAAACTTATACATAAGAGGTAAGATAAGGGAGAGTGGTAAAAAAAGAAAATATCTTACATAACAATTACAACTAACCATACTATATAAGAATATGGCAAAGAGAGGTTAAATAACTGAGGAATAAAAAATTAAATATACAATAATAAAGGAGGCTCACAAAGAGATAGTGGCAGCAAACATTGTATGTCAGTAAGCCCCCTACCCCAAGATATGGGTGAAGGAAGGGAGAAGAACAAATGTGGCACGTCATTGTGAAGTGAGGGGATGATAAATAAAGAATGGCTGAGAATATCGAAACGATCAAGGATAAAAAAGGTAGATAAAACAAGAGGAAAATAATTTTTTATAAACATACTAATCGTATTTATCATGAGAAGGTAAAAATATAATATATAGCTACTCTTGAACGCTACTACTATATTTATCTATAACACATTTTGTTTTGTTTTTCCAATTTGGTACTTCTTAAATAGCTGGTCGGGTCGAAACCTCCCTTGTTGTCTAATGTTATATCACATAACCTCCCTTCTTGTTTCATCTAACCCAAGTTATTCCATTGTTTATTTTTTGTTCCTCGTTTAAGCTGTGAGTTAGTTTTATTTTCGTAAAGTTATGGATGTTGTTACATTTTTCAAATTGCCTTCATCAGAAGAAGAGGCTATCAAATATTTTCAAGACGCCAGGATAACTGCAAAGGTGAAATATTGTGATGAAGGTCATGAAATGAAGTTGGACGGGAAGACGAAATGGAGATGCTTTCGTACTTGTAACAAAAATGTTTCTATACGGAAACGAACGTGGTTAGAGGGGTTGAGGATTTCTTTTTTAACAGCTTTCAAATTCATTTATAGGTGGTCCCATAATTTAACAATACAGTGGGGGAAACAACAGCTGAAACTATCCCAGCCAACTATGGTAACATGGAACAAATTTTTAAGAGAGGTTTGTGCCCATAACATGTTATACAGGTCAAGTAAAAAAATGGAGGGCCTGGAAAAGTCATTAAAGTAGACAAGAATCTTTATTCTAAAAGAAAAATCATGTAGGAAGAGTTCTATCTGATGAATGGATGTTTGGCGGAGTTTGCTGAGAAACAGACGAGTGTTTTATCGTCAAAATAAACAAAAGAAAGGTAACAACTTTATTAGAAATTATTAAAAACAATATACAAGAAGGAAGCACCACTTATTCTGACTGTTGGAAAGGATACAACACCAAACAACTCAATGAAACAAAGTATAATCATTTCCAGGTGAATCACCGGTATAATTTTGTTTATTCATTAAGTGGAGTCCATACTCAACACATAGAACGATTATGGGACTCAGTTAATTGGAGAAACAAAAAACATAGAGGAACTGCCAGACAACACCTTGATTCATATTTATATGAGTTTTTGTGGCAGCAGGTTCACAGAGAGGACCCGTTCATCGCTATTATAAATGGCATAAAACTATTCCCTATCAAAATGTATTAAGTTAAAATAAAATTGTTTTTATGTACATATTTTGCTTATAGTGTTCCTTTTATATGTACATATGTTCTTTATAGTCTTCATAGTGTTCCTAAATAAATAAATTAAATAAATCTTCCACAACATAAATTCCCTTGATCATGAAAGCATCCTGCTCGATACTGAAACCTTGGATTGGAATGAAGTTTACACCTGATCCTCAATTGATATCATGCTAGATATCCTGACTTCTAATCTCTGTATCCTTGATACCCATGCCCCTTTTAAAACCTCTAGATTCAACTGCCAACCTGCTCTTAGGATGCGTCAGGAAATTCGAGATATGCAAAAGAGAGGAGAGACAGCCCATAGATATAGTTATATGCTGATAACTCTCAAATTTATCTATCCTTTCTGTCCATTGAGTTATTAGAAGTATTTACTAATATTCAGTAAGACCTAGATAGAATCAGTGCCTGGCAAGCTTGAATAAATTAAAGTTAAACACAACGAAAACACAGGCCATTCTTATAGGTTCCAACTCTCTCCTTGGAACCATTCCCACCCTTTCTTCCTTGATTATTAATGACCAACCAATCTTTATCACCTCCTCTGTAAAAAAATTAGGAATTACTATTGATCAAAACCTATCCTGGAAACACCATATCGCTCATATCTCCAGAAGATCAATTGGTACACTTTAACTATTTCATCGCTCTCGTCAGCATCTTCCACAACCTTTCTGCAAGCTCCTCGTTTCCTCATTGATTTCCCCCCACTTACACTACGGTTGTGTGATATATGGCGGCATGTTATTGGTGCTTGAGAACAGACTGAAGAGAATCATGAACTGTTTTTTAAGATTCCTCTTTGGCACTTCGAGATGGTCTCATGTGTCCCACCTATGTGCTGAGTCAAAGTGGCTCTTCCCCTCTTCCCGTCGCCAAAACTTCCTTATATTTCTTACACCAAACAATTAACTCACAGCAGCCTTCCTAAATCTACTGTCTCTTTCAGCTTAAACCCTCAGTCCACTCACTAAAAATGAGATCCCGTGTTTCTGATCTCTATATTCCCTCCCATAGGAGAAAAACCAATGAACGTTCCTTCTTAACCAGCTCCGTTACCTTCTGGAATTCTTTGCCACATAACATCCGTCATGCCTCTTCTAAAGGGATTTAGTCTCAGAATAAAGTTCAATATTCTATTCTAAAATATACCCACCCTAGGGCCACCTTACCTTCCCAAGGAAGCCGCCCGGGTGGAGATGCACGTCTGCATGCATTGAGATGGCAGCCCTGTCAACAGACTAGGGTACAGACAGAGGGTGGATAGCTGCACTACCCAAAACACTCAGTATTGTGAAACCCATACTACCCTCGGATGTAATCAGTCTTAAAGGAAAACGACCCGGCACTTCCCATAGGATTCTTAACTTTGGATTTTGGAATACACTGTCTCTTTATAGACCCAGAGCATTAAAGCTGCTCTTAGATCAACTTGACAAGTACAAGACTGACATAGGTGCTTTCCAGATCAGATGGACTGGTCAAGAAATTCTAAAGAAAAGGCGCCACTTCATCTACTACAGCTATCATGAGAGTCGGCATGAATTTGGTACAGGATTTGTCGTAAAGGGAAAGTACAGGCAGATGATAATAGGATTTAAACCAGTGAGCCCAAGAATCTGTCTCATAAGAATTTTTTTTATTTATGATATTTACAACTGTATTAAGAAAAATACATTCAGCAAACGTGATAACAGAAAATAAAAACATGAAAACACTTGTTGAGAAACTACCCACTGGTAGCACTCTAAAATCTCATAAGAATGTGCAGAAAGTTTTATAACTATAGCCTCCTAAGTGTACATGAGCCCACAGAGGTGTCTGGCGAAGAAGAACAGGATGCCTTCTATGAACATATGGAAAGGAAAGAACTTTGGAAGCATGTCCTAGGTATGACATGAAAGTAATTGCTGGAGATTTTAATGCCAAGTTGGGAAAAGAACAAATATACCAGAGGATAATTAGAAAATACAGCCTTCATGATGTAATTAATGATAATGGATAAAGGCTCATTAATTTTGCAGAGTCCAGGAACCTAGTGGTAGGAAGTACTCTGTATCCACATAAGAATACCCATAAGAACACATGGATGACACCATTAACCAGATTGACCATATTCTGACAGGAAGACACCATAGAAGCAATTTACAAAATGTGAGAACATTTAGAGGAGTAAATGTAGATTCGGACCACTTTCTGAGCATAGCACACGTGACGGTGAAGATCTGCTCGGCAAGGAATTCAAAAGCTAAAGGATGCACAAACTCAGTTTAATTACACTGAAGTATTAGACATGAAAGTATGCCACGGAAGCTGCGATGCTGGCCAGAACATTGAAAAGTTTTGGTCGCACTGTTATGGAATAATTGGTCGCAATAATGGAAACAGCCGAAGAAGTACTAGGGCCACACGAGAAGGAACTAAGGTCATCCTGGTTCGATGATGAATGCAGAGCAGCCACAAACACAAAGAACAGTGTGTACGAAACAATGATTAGGACAACCACTAGATTAGAACAATGATTAGCGTGAACTCAGCATATGGTAAGAGACGTACAAAAAGGATATGAGATAATATTTTATAAGACAAGACTAGCGAGATATCTGGATAATTGTTGCACAGCAACCGCTAATTGCCTAAAGTTTAGAATTAATAAAGACTTTCCTAACTTTTACAACAAAATTTACTGTGAATTCCCAGCTGTAACCTGATTTTTTTTTACTGTATGAATTTCCCAACATATTACCGATTTCTTTCCGAAATTTCCAATTGGTAGACATTTTGTGGTATTGTAACATACAGTCATATCAGACCGTTCTCTAGAATGTGATTTAAATGGTAACTTATATGATGCACCTATCGTAAGTTCAGCATCAGACTAAATTTTTAATTCAATTTACAGACTACTGGGTGAAATATTAGTCATTTAAACACAATTTTGCACCCATTGAGCTAAGTTGTGTGTTTTTAGCCTTTTTGGTCACTGCGTCAAATTTAGTAATCAGTTTTAATGCTTTATAACAGGAGAAAACTAATATCGTTAGACATGGCCTGTCAATTACATTGAATATTAAAATCATGCTTCCAGTTTTCTACAATACAAGTTAAGGATAGTTAGAGTATAAGCTCCTTAATTTGGAATATGATCACCATAAATAGATACACGATTTTTGGGGCACTTTGTTTTATTTGATGTTTATTTTAATTTTAATTCTTGAAAAAGAATTAATTGATATACAATTAGCCTATGCTATATAGTGTCTAGTTTTGTCCATGAATATTAATATCATATTTTCACAATTAACATAATTTAAATCCACGTTACATATAAAAAAATTATATTCCTCATCTGAGCAATCTTGTTGATTTATTATTTTACTAATGGCTTTAATCTGTTCATTTTTAATAAATGATGATTGTATCTACCAAACTAACTACATTTACAACCTCAGGACACTTAACCCTGTGCACTTATCCACACCTTTGACATAATGAGGTATATTACATACTTTCAGTCAATAGTAACTGACAGCTAAAATACTTCTCATCTGTTAGCGCTTCTTTGTCAATATAGCTGTGATTAGTTAATAAGTGATTTAGTACAATAACAAAAATATTTAGTATTTCAAAAAACAAAATTTTCTTAAGTAATTATTGAATTTTTTTTTTACCAATGTGAGTAAGAGAGCCCCTACGATGTTCTTCTCCACATACATAGCATACTTGTGTATTAGAGTTCTTATCAGGCATGGATAGATCCAAGATATCAGTACCACTGCTGCTAGTAACACTTCCTGTAAATGTTTTTTAGTTTAATAAATGGCAACATTTGTAGTGAGTAAATATAATAAAAACATAATTTACCAGGATTTGAATGTCCACCATTAGGTGCAGATGCTATTGAAGGACTCTGTCGAAGGTCCAGAGCTGAATCATTCTTCTGAGAAAGATTAGAGTTGGGCATAGGAGGAGCAACAACCTCTTCAAGACTAGATATTCCCGAATCCCTAAACACATACATATATAAGATATATGTATGTAAGTTTGTTTGTATATACATGCAATGCATACAAAAATACATATATAGATAGATGAATTAAACTGATTTAATTAGTATATCTTATAAGATGTAAATTTGACATAATTATATAAATATTAAAAAAAAAAGTCATTAAATTGTTGCATCATCAAATTGACCAGAATAAATGAATGAATGACAATATTAATGAACAATGAATGCCAGTGAAACCATAAGGCAATACAATTTTTAATTAGAATATTTAAATATATTTCTATCCCATAGGGGTTAATTGTTGTGCATAATTAACGGGGCTTTACGCACACCCGGGTATCCCAGTACAGTACATCGCACACACCTCACATCACAACAGTACACTACATACTTATACTGACATTAAGGACAATAACAATAAACACCATAGGATCACCTCCCCTAGGTGATAATAGAGTCATTCTGGCAGCCAAGATCACTAGCAGACCTGCTATCCTAGGGCCTAAGGACCTTCCTGCTGGGCCAATCACACATATTAAGGAGTATTAAGGATTCATAGAAGTCAAAGAAGCGTCGGAACTGGACGGACAAATCGGAAACAACATGGCAGGGAAAAAGACTTGAGAATTGGTACTTGGAATATAAAGACCATCGTGGGTAAGGAAGTTGAACTCGCGGAGAAGACCATAAAATATGGGATGGACATCTTGGTATATTTGAGGTGAAAAGGAAAGGAATTGGAGAAGTGCGTCTGGATAAGGGTTACACTCTCATTTATTCAGGGGTCCATAAAGGGGAACATGCTAAAGAATGAGTCAGCTTTGTTATTAAGGAAGAATTACACAAGAAAATGGAAGAATGGGAGGCGGTCTCGCCTAGGATAATAACAGCCAATTTCCAACTATCTCCAGGTAAAATCTCTATAGTACTAATTTATGCTCCAACTCAATATTCCTCTGTGGTAGAAAAGGAACAATTTTACTCGGACCTAGAAAGAATTAAAAACAAATTCAAAAGGATGAATAGGAATATTATCTGTTGTGGGGACTTCAATGCAAGGATCGGATGGAATTTTAGAGATGCGCATGGAATCATGGGAAAGCATGGAGGTGAAAAGACTAAGAATGAAAATGGTCAAAGATCGATAGATTTTTGTGTTGATAATAACATGCTTATTGGTAACTCCTTATTTCTCCATAAGAGGGTTAATAAAATAACATTTTCAGCACAGGAAAAAACAGTGTTATGGATTACATTATATTTGAAGAAGATATCAGACGCTGGTTCACAGATATTAAAGTGATCAGAGGTGCTGAAATAGACACGAATCATTTGCTTTTGGTAGAAAATATACACAGATCATGAAGCCTAGACATTCAAAGCATACGAGAAGATTAACATGAGAGCCCTTGATTCGGTGGCAAAAAGACAAGAATATGAGACATGCCTAGAAGCAAAACTGAAAAAGTACGACCATAATGGGACTGTAGAAGAAATATGGAAGTTTCTAAATGATAGCATACTTAAATCAGCAAGGTCAGTATGTGCTGTGAAGAAAATAAGCACCAGATATAAGCGCACAAATTGGTGAGCGAAGAGGCAAAAAAAACAATACAAAAAGGCATGGAAGGCATGCCTGATGAACCGTACGCCACAGAACTGGGAAGAGTATGTTAAGTGGAGGAATGATACTAAGCGTGTTATTCTAAAGGCCAAGAAAAAGTCATGGGAAGAATTTGAAAAAAAACCTGGACAGTGACTATAAGGAAAATATAAAGAAGTTCTGGAAAAAAGTAAAAGCACTGAAGGGAAAAACATCAAAAGAGATCAGAAACATAAAAGATGAAAGCAGACATATGACCCAGACAAGATCTTGGATAGATGGAGACAGCATTACTCTTCACAGATCTCTGATCATAGACAACCTCCAAAACACGAGGAAGAGACCAATCAAGTGGTTGAATATGATACTATCTGGGAGGATGATAAAGAAAGGGCTCTGGAAAAACTGAAGCTAGGCAAAGCAGGAGGCAGAGATGGTATTTTCCCAGAGTTTATTAAATATGGAGGAAATGAAATGATAAAATCACTGCAAGCACTTTTTCAGAAGATATGGGATGATAAGGTTATTCCGAAGGACTGGGAATACAATATCATAGCGCCAATTCATAAGAAAGATAGCACAACTAAATGTGGCAACTACAGGCCTGCCTATATGCCTGTCCCAAGTGACCTACAAAATGTACACCAATATATTAGAAAACATGTTAAGGACACTGATAGAACCAGAATTAGAAGATCAGGCTGGTTTCTGACCAGGGAGGGAAACGCAAGACCACATATAAGCGAAACATAAAAATTAAAACAATTTAAAGAGGACTATTGAGTGGACAAACTCAGCCAAGTTACGTATTAAAAAAGTCATAAATTATTTGTCTTTTTTTTTTTTTTATCACCCTTAACTATACTACAGATACCCCACTTTTAGGAAAACTTCCTTGTTTAATAATTTTTAAGTCTATATATTAATTAAGTTGAGGTTTATTAGGAAAAATTTGGAGATTCACCTCAAGTTATGTAAACAAATGATTTGATTTTCTATCTGGTCACCTAAAAGTACCCGCTTTTTCAGCAAAAATGACTACAATTGACTGTTACAAAGCTTTTATTTGTAATAAACATAATTGGCTAAAAACACATTTCATTTATAAAAATAAAAAAATTTAAAATAAAGATTTTTCATATAAGGTGGTTATGGCATTGTGTTTTTCTGCCAGGATTCTGTCATAGGAATTAATGCATAGTTATAAGTTACAAACTTAATGTTTTTAGCACTAATATATACGTTTTCATGAAAATAATTGAAGCAATCAGTAGGTTTATTTAATTTTAAATGTAAATTTTAGTAAGAAATATTAAGTTTGTCACTTATAGATACCCATCAATTACTATGACCGAAATCTAGAAGAAAAATACAATTTTATAATCACCATACAAGCAAAATATTTGAAAAATCATTATTTTAAACTTTTTTATATTTAACAATAAAATCTGTTTTAAGGCAATTATGTTTATTACACTACATCCCATATCACAGAAAAACAAGAAATGAAAGCTTTGCAACAGTTAATTGTGCATTTCATTTCTGCAGAAAACACAGATACCTTAAGGTGACTGGATAGGAAATCACTTCTTCTTTACACAACTTGAAGTGAATCTCAAATTGAAATTTTCCAAATAAATCTCAACTTAGTTAATATTAGCTTAGCTTATTAAACATGGAATTTTTTCTGAAAGTGGGGTAACTGTAGTAAAATTAAAGGGTGATAAAATCACAAATAATTTATGACTTTTTTTAAAAGGAACTTAGTTGTGTTTGTCAGCTCAATAGCCCTCTTTATATAGTTATAACAATGACAAACTATACTTTTGTTAAAAGTAAATTTAGTCTACTTTACTATGGGGCAATGTTTAATTATGTATCAATATTTTTGAATCAAATATTGTTGAAGTTATCGCTTCCTATTCAACAAAAAACATGATTCACTAAAAAAAACAAAAACCTTAAATTTCATGCTTTTCTGCTGTAAATTGGGCAATTGATTATATGAACATTTTTGTAGGTCTTGATGTCTATAATCAATCTTTTAAATATTTCCCTCTACTTACGGGACACCCTGTATATAGTGCAGGTACCATGTGCACAGTTAAAGCAATTTCAGATATATAATATTTAAAAATGTGTACATTAATAACGTCTATGTACATATTAATATTTTATTTAATTTGTGCGTAAAAGGTGATTTTTATTTTCTGATCAAAATTTTGTTGATCACAATGTAATCATTGTTATTTATGTAAAACCGTGCCATTCAACGAGTGATCATTGTTTTTAATCAAATAAATAAACATCCAAGATCGATTTAAAGTTTTATTTATAAATCAGGCATGATTTTTAAATAAAATATCAAATATGATAATTATTACATGATTTTGTGAAAAAAAATTATTGATTTCAAACCCTGATAGACATTTAAAAACAAAATACTCCATGTGACTAAAAGTTAGAATCAGTGAAAAAATGTGATCATTAACAGAAGAAAAAAAAAGAAGAAAATTGTACGCTAATCTAAAACTTTTCATTTATATATATATATATATATATATATATATATATATATATATACATATATATAAACAATGAATTGATAATATAAATATTAAATAATTTTAATTTTATATATATATATATATATATATATATATATATATAAATATAATATATAAACAATGAATTGATAATATAAATATTAAATAACTTTAAGATAAATGTTAGTGCAGCAAAAAATAGTTTCTCACATTTATACAAAAATCACCTTTGTTAGTAATAGATTGTGATTCTCCTTATTATTTCAACTTAAATGCAAAAATTACATATGGTCTTATCTATCTAAATATCATTAGAAATGTGTCTTAAAATAAAATACAACAGAAAAATGTATGACAGATAATCCCTCAATAGGTTGAGAGGTCAATACAGTTATCAGCAAATGACCCAGGAATAGGATTTAATGATCTCGACCTGTAAATCAAAATATGTCATAGGTTATATGACCTCAATATCACCAATACGACTGTCTGGTTTCCAATGCTTTTCAGCTATGATAAACTAAGTACTAGGACATTACTAATAAATTAAGTAATAAAGCATTACTAAATGATAGTAAAATTATATTATAATATTTTGTCATGCCTTTCTTTTACTTACTTATTTTAATTTTAAAAATGACCAAAAAGGTAATAGAGGGGGCTAGACAAGCTGTAATCACAGCTGGGCTAAACAAGCTGTAATCACAGTTCTGTTCTCTCTAGCTAATATAACTGATCAATCATTAAACCTATGAATTGATGTGAATAGCTCCTTAACACCATTTTGATTTATTTAATTGAAAATATTTAATGATAGGTTAGTTATTTGCAATGAGCATCATATGCCAAAAGAAAAAGTTGAAACATATAAATTTTTTTGCAATCTCAAGGTTTGATAAATAATTATAAGTTAACTTCATAGGCATTTATTTTGATAAATAACTCCATAATATAACACGAAATGGGAGTTTTAAAAGTTCATTGAAATATTTTTAGTAAGCCTATCTAAAAATCCAGTGTTTGGATAGATACTGACCTAAAAGGTTGTTGTTGATGGTCAAGTGAAAGGAAATTGGCAGCATACTCTCCTTGAGCAGCCAGCTCTGCTCCGGTGTATGGCCCATTGTCTACCCTTTTGAGCCAATACAGGCGCCGAGAATGTGGAGTTCCATCTCTTTGGTAGCGCTCCCATTGCTGAAAAAAAAAAATTTTGCATACTAAGATCCACACGTTAAGGCTGACAGGCCAACGAAAGCGCAGCTGAGCTGAGTTGAGCATAGTAAGTGAAGCTCAACTCAGTCAGCAGCTTGCTTTGCACCAGTACCCTTCTCATATTCTATATAATACTTTTAAAAAGTATATATTGTAATGTACACCTTTATTGGAAGTGAGTTGAATGCAGTGGAAGGCAAGCTAATCTAGTTCTACCAGTTCAGGTAAAAGGAAATGGCTGCTCTGTAGTTTCCCCAGATAGGAAAATCCCAAAGAGAAGAAGGGACAAAGGATTTTTGTTTTGGCAAGCAGTCGGTGTCTGGATGGGGTGAAGAGAGGATGGGAGAAGTGATCCTGGCTCCAGTGGGTAAAACCCAGTAATGGTATTACCATCCTGGAAGTTGTTTGGCAGAGAGACTAGTTGTTTGGAATTAAAAGAGAGAGGAGCTCCCAGGGAGTTTAAGTTAAGTAGAAGAAAGTGTCACCATTTGGGAAGATATGTTTGGCAGAAGATTGAAAAGCATTTGAAGACAAATGAATTCAGTGCAACAAAGGAAGAAACAGTATCCATAGAAAAAAAGGTTAGCTTGTCAATCCATATTTAACTTTATTTTGAAATCAAACAGTGTTAAGCATAGTTAATTTTACATTATTAATTTAAAAAGTATATATAGCAAATATAATATTTTCTAAAAAATAGCGAAGTTGATCATGTTGAAGTTGAAAAGAAAAATTGAATATTTGTATATAAAATCAAATATTTTCCCTTGCATATTCGTCTGAGTGTTTTGATCTGTTTGTCAGTAACCCACACCTGAGATAAATACATATATTAATACTCTTATAATTTTGTTTATTATTTAATAACCTCTTATTTATTTAGGAAGTATCAAACGATGTAAAGTTATCTTTCGAGGTTATATTATTATTATTTGTAAAATATAAGAGAGATGTTACAATATAGCAAATATAACATTTTTTAAAAATAATAATAATAAAAAGTATATATAGCAAATATAATATTTTCTAAAAAATAGCGAAGTTGATCATGTCGGAGTTGAAAAGAAAAATTAAATATTTGTGAATAAAATTGAATATTTTCCCTTACACATTCGATTAAGAATTCTTCCTCATCCATTGCATATTTTACACTGAACCAAAATAAAATAATTTGAGAGATTATGCAGTGAAAAAAAGCAGATAACATTTAAAAAAAAAAAAATATATATATATATATATATATATATATATATATAGCATATAAACCATTTTAAAAAAAATCTGGTGCATGCTACACCACTTTCACTTACCGCTTAACTTTGAATAGAAATTATTTTCTGGCCATGCTGGGCTATTATAAAACTTTTTAATTGCATTTTTAACCGAGTTAAAGCTAAAAGCTTACAGCAAAAAAATAATACATACCATTAAAATAACAAAAGCCCTATTTATTATATCACCGGTTGATTATGGATCATACGATCCATTGATTATGGATTATACGACTATTACATATTAAACTGTTATTTTTCATTGCAAAGTTTACTAAAATGGAATTAAGAGATATGCATTGTCTGTCATAGATAGGTTAAAAGTTGTTACACTAATTGGAAGTGGATACTTTTGGAATATCACAAAAGGAAAATTCATCAAATTATTCACTAATTTAATTTCCTAATAGGTTACATAATGATTTTTCAGAATAAGCGGACGATAGATACCTAAATATTTAAATATAATATCACATCTAGACTATAGTAACATTAAACTACAGTAAATATATTTAAGATTATAAACATATCCATGAAATATTTTTATATTTCACTTCTTCTTTCACACAAGTAGAATGATGAAATAGGACTTTAAACAATGTCATTGCCTTGATTAGGTAGATTTTAAATACTTTTTTTAAACATTTTTAAAAGTTATCATTGAGTAAGCAAATTTCATTTAATTTACTCGAAAACATGTAGTTTAAATTAACTTATGTTGGTAGATAAAGGCCTTTTAAGTCTCGATAAAAAATAACTTTATTTTAAATTTATCCAAATTTTCGCATCTTCAGGGATAATCTGATTTTATAAGTAATTCAAATCCTTATCTGATAAAAAAATATACAAAAATCATTCAGAGGATTTACTATTAGACATTAGCCCACCTACATTACCACTACCTGGTATAAAATATTAAAGGAAATAGATAAACCCATAAAACTTAATGATCAAAATAAGGATGGTCCACTGTTTACTAGGTATAAACCTTTAACATATATAAAACACCTGTAAGATTCCTTCACAAAAACATTTTTGGAATATATTATCGATGAAATCAAAATATCATACCGAATCTCAAATAAACTTCACAACAATTTGACAGCTCTTAAAGATAAAATAAGTACCAACCAAAATTATAATTTAATCTATGAAATAAAATGTCTACATTGTCCAAATTCATATATAGACAATAACAACTCAAAACCTCAACAATAGACTGTGTCCAACATAAACATTTATGTACGTATATGATATATAATGATAGTCACGTAATATTTAAATACTTTAATGTTGGCAACACCTCTCCTCCTTGAAGGACTGGGTCTCATTCGGTTTTGTTCTGTGACTAAGTGTCCAAGTGGGTACACTGCTATAAAGTGAGTAAGTTTTTATATTTTGATATATGCATTGTTGATTAGTGAAAAATGTTTTAAAGGTTATTATGGTTTTAAAAATGAGCTAGTGTCTAATAGCAAAGCCTCTGAAAGATTTTTGTATATATTTTTCAGATGAGGATTTGAATTACTTATAAAATCAGATTATCCCTGAAGATGGCTGAAGAGGAGAAAATTTGGATAAATTTAAAATAAAGTTATTTTTTATAGAGACTAAAAAGGCCTTTATCTATTAATACGTAACATAGTCTCTTTCTCAAGATCATCTTTTATAAATAATGTTAGTCTTTAGAAATTATTATTTATATATTTTTTGTCACTCTCCGTTACCTTCTACAACTTTATTATGATATTATTTTTTCTAAAATTCTCCGCTTTCTAATGGTATATTATACGTATACCTTCTGACTATTATTTCTGAAAATTCATTTTCTACCTGCATTAATATTTTTCTAGAGTTATTAAACTACTAACAATATATTTAAGGTTATAAGCCTATCCATGAAATATTTTTATATATCACATCTTCTTTCACAGAAGCACAATGAAATAGTATTGTAATAATGGTCATCTTAACGTCCATATACGCGAGCTTAAATAGACAACCATGTGAAAACCTCACGTATCCACTTTATCAACCTAACATATGTTTATTAATAAATAATCCAAAATAAAACATTTATTATTGATGTATACAATTTAGACAAACAGACTATAAAAAGCCCAAGGAAATTTCTAAATAAACAATAGACTATAGATAATTAATAAAACTTAATCTAAGGAGTAATCTGAACTTAACTATTTATAACTAAACAACAAGAACTTACGGACTAATTTAAAGCTGACATAAAATTTACTAATATAAATCTGAATAACGTACAAAAATACCAAAGACTTCATCCATATAAGTCCGCTTCTTCCAGCAGTTACAGAGATAGATAGATAGATTTCCTTTTCCAATCACTATTCTCTTCAATCTCCTAAAAACATCTGACTCTCTTTCTCTCTCTCTCTCTCTTTAGACTGCCTTAATGCGCATTCACTGCCACATAAATTAACTCTTTTGTTTTGTGCACTACAGTATCTTAAACAGTGTCATCGCCTTGAATCCGTGGATTTTAAATAATTTTTGAAACTTAATAAAAAAAAGGTACACACTTAGTAAGAAAATTTCACTTAATTTCCTTGAAAACATGTGATTTACGTTAAATAATGTTAGTTTTGAGAAATTATTATTTATATTTTTTCCACCACTCTCCGATTTACAATTTCCTATATTAGATTTTTTTTTTTTAATTCTCCGCTTTCTAACTATATATTATACGTATACCTTCTGACTATTATTTCCGGAAATTCATTTTCGACCTGGATATATATCTTTCTTTTTTTCTCCCATATTCAATTATGAAATTCTTTCAAAAGTTATATTTAGCATTTTTTCATAACTCCTAACAATGAGAAATAGTTATTATTTATAATAAACCAAACTAAAAGTACTTTAGAGGAAGACATGATAATGTTGGGATATCACAAAGGGAAACTCATCAAATTTAATTTTCTAAAAAGTTACATGATTATTTTTCGGAATAAACGGACGTTGATACTTAATTACTTATATATAATATCAGATCTAGAATTATTAAACTATAGTAAATGTATATAAGGTTATAAATATATGCTTTATACATCCATGAAATGATTTGATATTTCACTTCTTCTTTCACACAAATACAATGAAATAGTTTTTTAAACAATGGCATTGCCTTGATTAGGTGGACTTCTAATACTTTTTTCAAACTTAAAAATATATTAAAAGTTTACATTTAGTAAGTAAATTTCATTGAAAACATGTGATTAACGTTGAAAATTTAGTTTACAAAAATTATTATTTATATATTTTTCGCCACTCTCCGTTACCTTCTACAACTTTCTTTATTAGATATTGTTTTTTTCTTTCTTCGCTTTCCAACGATATATTATAGGTATAAATTCTGACTAGTTTTCCTATATATACCTAAGATAACTAAGATCGTATATATAACTAAGAGAAGCATATACCTATCTTAAATACGTAATATCAGTTTCATAGGACTTTTCGGTTTTGAGCTAGACTGCTAACATACACACACACAGACCATTTTGCGAGACTTGGTTATTTGGACTCAAGGTACCTCAAAATGTGTATTTCTGTTGAAAACTCAGATTCGAAAATTTTCACGATTGCAATACTTTCCCATACTATATATCACATATATAGGTAAGTGAAAGTAAAAATAAGAAAAGTTGATCATGTCGGAGCTGAAAAGAAAAATCGAATATTTTCCCTTACACAATCGATTAAGAATTCTTCCACATCCATTGCATATTTTACACTGAACCAAAATAAAATAATTTGAGAGGTTGTGCAGTGAAAACAAGCAGGAAAAAATGATGACACTGAAGAACAAAGCCCCACAGTTGCTTGACATTAGTAAGTAGATGTGGTGGAGGAAGCTGAGTGTAGCGAAGTCAGCTTCCAAAACCAAACCTCGGTCGACTCAAAGCTGACCCTTGCTACTACGTCCCTCAACTGCACTCAGCTCAGCACCGCTTCTGGTGGCCGGCCTGTCATTGAAAACCTTTGGTTTGGTTTTGGAAGCTGACTCAGCTACACTCAGCTCAGCTCTGCTGCGCTTTTGGTGGCCAGTCGGCCTAAGGCGAAATGCAAAATAAAGTCATCAATCATTCCAATAATATTATCATATATATGAAACATAGTGATTTTAACTATTAACCATATGATACATAATCAATTTAAATATCATATAATACTTTAAAGTACTGTTTACTAAAAAAATGATTGTTATACAATTCTTGTTTTAGGTAAGATTTACTAATTGTTTGATAATTATATATTATGTTGATGTGTAATTGTTAAAACTTGTTTTAGAATCATATGATTCCATTTGTTGAATTATAAAATGACTTAGATATATAATTATAATAAAATATAATGCCTCAATACGAATACAAACTTAGATAGAATTAAATACTACAAAAAAACATTAACCTTAAAAATGGCAAGTCTAATTAAAACAGAAATACAGTGAAATTTCTTTATATGGACATCTATGGGGAAGATGATTCTGTCAGTTGTGTACTTGTCCATTAAGAAGGGTTAATTTAAAAAAAAAAAAAAATCAAAAATAAAATTAACAACTAGGTACTGTAACCAAGACTAAGGAAGATTTGAAAAAAAATAGAACTCTTCTCTCTTTTGTTTCCTCTGACTAATTATTAAAGTTTTTTTATCATGTGCATGTGATCTGATATCTTATATCTTGACTATCGTTTCTTGATGTTTATGTGGCATGCCATACTATTGTATATAGAATAAGTATCTTTTTTTGTAATTTTTATTATCTTAAGTATCTTCCTATTTATCTTTAATCGTATATAGTAATTATGTTTAAATTCTATCTTTTTCCTTTTATATTATTTCTTTTGCTTGTACATAGTATTAATTCTGTAAATATTTCTTTCTGTAAATAGATCTCTTAACCTTTTTTGCTGCTTTATAAAATATGCGACCTAACCCCTTCTCACCCGACCTAGCATGGTAGGATAAATATTAAATCAAGGGAAAATAATGGTTAAGTACCTTATATTTTCTAGATTTATCTCTTTAGAGATGAAAAGCTGGTAAAGCCAGGCGCCCAACAAGTGAAAATTCCGATATAAAATTATATTTATTAAAACTTAATTTATTACATTTTTATTTATCTTAATTTTTGGTCATAGTACATATTTTATTTTTAATATTATCAATTCATACTCAATAAAAATTGTAATTACGATCAACTTACTTAACTAATATCAAACATTTTATTATTACCATTTGCTTGAAAACAAAGTTTCTGAACAAAACTTTTTTTTTCTTCCACAGAAAAAATACATACTTGCTCAAGGATGAAAAGATTCTGCAATTTATAGTCAAAACAGCCACTTATACAATAAAAATAATAAGAGTATCATCTAAAATACAGACTTTTAAGCTCAAGAACACCTTTTTCTTTAAAAAAAAGAAACATATATATAAAATTGAAGAGAAGTTGGTTTGAGGTGTTCAGTAAAAAAAACAAAACAAATAAGAATAAATAAAGGGTATTTATTTTTATATTTTCTAATGTTTCGGCCTAAAGTTCAGGCCTTCATCAGGGCTGGACTCACAAAAGTTCCACTAAGACCAACTTGGAAACAACTAAGGGTCCACTATTATGTAGCCGAAGCCACTTTTTATGAAAATACTGTCGTATTTCAGATTTGTGCATCAAGTTTTTTTAACTTTTAAGATTTGATCGATATAATGGTCCACTAATATGTTCACGGAGGCGCTTTTAATGAAAATACTGTCAGATTTCAGATTGTGCAATAGCACATTACGCTTTTGTAGCATTTAGGTTTTAATTGATATTAAAGTCTACTATTATGTTGTCAGAGGTGTTTTTAATGAAAATACTGTTGAAATTCAGACTGCACAATTGTGCATAAAGTTTTTGTAACTTTTTGTATTTAAACAATATTAAGGAGCATTATTATGTTCGTAATATCGATTAAATCCAAAAAGTTACAAAAATGTGATTCGCAATCATCCGTTTTTACTTTGTATTCATTATACTTTTAACCATTATGTCTCAATATTATCTAATATTTAAATGTAATTTTCTTACAATATGTATAACATTAAATTAGTTTGCATAAACTTAAATTAATCTACCTGGTTCAAAAGTGTTGAGCACAAACCACAGACATTAACAGAATGACCTCGAGGCCCCCTGTAGTTAGCAGGAGGCTCATGTGAGTCCAAAAATGGGAAGTGAGGTTCACCGGGAGCTCTAGGTGTTATCCTTAGTGAATATTCTTGCGTGTGACCAGATCCACCGCATGCAAAGCAAACAAGAGCTTCTCCACGGTACATACCACCAAGCTAAAATGAAAAAAACAAATCAAAATTAAAGTAAAACAAAAAGAAAGAAAAAATTCTAAAAATAAACATATTTCTGCAAAATTCATTTAAGAATGCCTTAGAAAAAAAAAAAAAAAATTATATATATATATATATATATATATATATACTGCATGATTATCTGCAAATGGTTCCATGTTTAAAGCAATTTCTTAAAGTCAAATGATTTTGTGAAAAAAATAGTACCATCTAATTGAGTTCATAAGTAATAGAAAGGTAAATTTGAACAGATAAATATAGTAAGATCTATTACACTCCACAGTACCAAAATAATTGATAGATAATACTGTATGCAGTATGCAGCCTTGTGTGACCTTGGAGTTCCCCCGAAACTTGTCCACCTCATCAAGATGACTATGGATGATGCTAGGTGCACTGTTCAGGTACAATTGGACCTGTCACCTGAATTTGTCTCCACGCGAGAAATTAGGCAGGGGGATGGGCTTGCCTGCCTATTGTTTAACCTGGCCCTGGAGAAGGTGATACGTGACTCAGGGATCCAGACTACAGACACTATCTTTAACAGATTAACGCAAATACTGGGATTTGCTGATGATCTAGATCTGATGGCACGTTCCTTCGAGTCTCTTAAGAGTGCATTTTTGAAGTTGGCTGAAGCGGCAGAAGCTTTGGGAATGAGTGTAAACCAGGAAAAGACAATGTATATGCGAGCAGGACCTGAAACCGAGACCGCAGTATGGGTACTGGTGGTTATGGGCCCATTTACGTTCCACAATGTAGACCAGTTTACCTATGTAGGAGCTATTGTAAGCTGTGGAAATAGAATATCCTTGGATGTCAAGCAGCGAATAATAAGGGCAAACAGGTGCTATTTTGGCCTCAGCAAACACCTTGGAAGCTATGCCATCTCCCATCATACAAAATGTCTCTAATATAAAACCCTCATTAGGCTTGTTCTCACATATGGATCGGAAAGCTGGACCCTCTCTAGCAAAGAAGAAAAAGATTTACTAATCTTTGAAAGGAAGATCCTTCGGCGTATCATTGGACCTGTCAAGTTTGGTGATGATTGGAGAAGGAGAACTAACAGGGACCTATATTATATGATATGTATGGAGAGACCGATGTGTTGAGTGTATCAAGCTTGGCGACTACGTTGGACTGGCCATGTGGCCAGAATGACAGAAGAGGAAGTTCCAAGGAGGTTGTTTGATGGGAAGCTCTGCAGAACAAAAAGGAAAGGCAGATCACGTCTAAGATGGTAGGGCGCCGTCAGCCGAAATGCCAGAGAACTATTGCATACCCGCAACTGGCGAGTGACTGTGCAAGATTGAGCCATTTGGCGAGGGCTCATTGAGGGCGCCAAGGACCAAACTGGTCTGTAGCACCATGGAGTTAGTTAGATAATACCATAACCTACTACATCATCACAACATTAACACAAACATGAAAACTATTATTTCTTTATGATTAAATATTTTCATTTTCAATCAATGAAAAGAAATTAAATGAAAAAATAATTTTATTCTGGAATTACTGTCCCCTAAGAATAACAACAGAGTTACAAATTTATGGGTCTTAATCTGACATAATAATAAAAATACAAACTAATTTACTGTTTTTAATTAGTAATTAATTACTTAAAATTAATAAAATACAAACAATCAATATGTTTTTATAGTACTTTTTTGCAGGAACAAAAAGATAATAATTAATAATAAATAAAAGATTTAAAAATTGCAAGCGCTACCCAATTGCTTTGACCAATGCGGCCCAGATTCGATTCCCGCATGGGAATGGTAACATCCCCACCAAGAGATTCACAGGGAGGTGAGCGACCCCTGTGTCTTACCCCAATAACCCTATCCTGGAAAAAATAACTTATTACGAAACCAAAACGAAGCCTCAGAAAATCGGACTGTCTAAACATGGTAACGACCTCGGCTTTGAATCTCGGACTATACATTGGATCTTGGAACGTACGTAGTTTATACAGACCAGAAGCCGCAAAAATAGTAGTCAAGGAACTAAAAAGGTATAACATACCGGTAACAGCCATTCAAGAGGTAAGATGACCAGATAGTGATGAAACCATTATCGACGATCATACTCTATTCTACTCTGGGAGAAACGATAAAAATGCGACAGCCGGGGTTTATAGTCAGTCCAGCGGGGAAGGAAACCAATCATAAACTTCACCCCAATAAACAAAAGGATTAGTGTATTACGAGTTAGAGGTCGTTGGTTTAATATCATGATAATTAACGTGTATGCACCAACTGAACATAAAGATGAAGAGGTGAAGGATGATTTCTACTATCAGTTGGAAAATATTGTGGACCAAGCTCATAGGCATGACATAAAATCAGTCATAGGTGACTTCAATGCAAAGTCACCTGCATGGATGATGGATGGATCAATGAATCCTGAATGGATATAATCTGATTTTAACAACCTAAACGCTTTAAAGAATTAAATATATTTTAGAAAAGATATTTCAGTTTACACTTATGTTTTTTTAAAATTTGGTTATGAGAACAAGTTATATTTTTTTCCTTTTTTCTTACGGTATTTAGGACCATTCTCATATATTTGTAATTTGGTCTAACACCACTGGAATTTACTCGGTTTTGTTATCCTAAAGTACTGGAAACTACTATCAAACAGAAATAACACAAAGTATACAATATTGTCATTGTTATAATCCTTCTTTTTTGTCTACCTCTGATTCCATTCCAAGTGTTGAGGAGCCTCGATCCAATGCAGCCACACATCTAGGTCCCGTCCAAGCTGCCTCATCTCTTGGAGAGTTTTCCCTCTCTTCCCTCCAATTCGCTGCATGTATTCCTGGTAGAAAATTCTGGATCGGCCTAGTGGTCTCCTCCCAGTGGGTCGAGCTTCTATCACTTTCCGAGGTTCTCTTTCATCATCCATCCGACAAATGTGGTCAAACCACTTCAGTTTTCGATTTTCAAGCATTGTCTTCAGCTCTACCACCTCCACTTCCTCCCGTATCCATTCATCCCTGAAACGGTCCCTTCTGGTCTCTGTTACCCGGCTGGCCTACTTGTACAGCATAACCCAACTTTTACTTCCGTAAGTCAGGGTTGGTAGGTATACAGATTTGAATATATGCCTTTTTGTTTCATTACTAACGTCTCTGTGTCCCACAATGGTGTTACAGATAGGATAATAAACCTGGTTGGCTTTGCAAATCCTATTGCTACTTCTGAGTCAATCTTCCACGTATTGCTTATGACTGTCCCCAAATAGGTAAATTCCTGCACAACCTCAAGTACCATTACATATCAGCTGGACATCTTATCTCTGTCCCAAGGTTTCTCAGCGATGCTTCTTAGTGATAAGATGTGGTCTTGAGTCAGGCTTCCTGGACAAAAGCCTGCTTCTTCTTCTATTTGGTTCTAGACTGTGGCCCTAAGTATCCTTTCTAGGATTGAGGTGTATAGTTTGTAAGCCACCGAAAGTAAGCTTATTGGCCTGTAATTTTTACAGTCAGTGGAGCTACCTTTCTTGCTTATAGGAACGATGATAATGAACTCCCAATCTCATGGAATGATGTTCGTGTCCCATATATTTTGGAGGAGTAGCTGGATAAATTTAATAAGCTCTTGACCTCCAAATTTCAATAATTCTGGAGCTATACCGTCCCTTCCTGCTGCTTTACCTATTTTAATTTTTTCTAAGGCATACTCTACCACATCTTCCTCAATAGCATAGGAATTCTCCAGACTATAAGTTTCTGCAACATGTTCTCCAGGGTCATTAGGCCCTTTTGAGAAGTGTCCTCGATAAAACTCCTTCCACCACTCAAGAATTTTTACCTCTTTTTTTATCATTTTGCCGTTTGAGTCTTTAACATTTCTAACTGGCTTACTTCTTTTCCCTCTCAATGTCTTTACTTTGTGCCAGAATTTTTTAATACTCTCTCGGTGGTCTTCATCGAGGCTTTTTCCAAACTTCTCCCATGCAGCTCTTTTTGCTTGATGGATCACTCCTTTGCATCGATTTCTGGCCAAAAGGTATTGGTTCCGTTTTTCTTCCGTTCTGTCTTGAAGGTAGTCTTTCCATACCTTCTTCTTTAATTGGAAGACGTGGCGCACTTCTTCATTCCACCATTCGGTGCGCTTCTGTTTGCTTGATATTTTACGCATACCACAAACTTCTCTTGTCACTTCCAAGATACAGATCATGAAACGGCACCACTGATGTTCCATATCATCCTCCAGACTCAATGCCCTTAATTTACTTCTCAGTTTTTCGGTGTAGGAGGTTCTCTGTACGGGATCAACTAGAGCTCGTATATTTAATGTTCGTTAGCTCTTTTCTTTAATGGGTCGTCTTTGCGGAATTTTAGTATCGGCTATTAGTAACAGATGATCGCTGCCGATTTCTGTACCTCTTATCACTATAATGTCGGCAAAATACTGTCTTATGCCACGATTATATAAGAAATAGTCGATAATACTGTTTCTTTGCAGGCTCGAGAAGGTTATTTTGTGTATCCTTTTGTGGGGAAAGAAAGAGTTGCCCACGAGCATGTCATTATTCACACAAAAATCAATAAGGTGTTATTCATTTCCATTCCTTAACCTCTCCCCTCCATGGATTCTGAGGGTACCATTAGCAACAGTAGATCACATCCCGTTCTTCGCAATAGTCTCCACTCAGTATTGCCAATCGTCCTTTATCCTTTATTTTATTCAGTACTCCTAGCAAGTCCGAGTGAGTAGAAGGCTTCTTTGTCCATGATTTCTGCATCCTCTGTTGGTGCATATGCTTGCACCAAAGTCACCTTACTGACGGCTAAAGAAAAATCTGCTGCAATGATTCTTGATGAGACAGGCTCCCAGTCTTCTAGTTGGCTGTACATTTTGGGGTTCATGGCTATACCTACTCCTTCTTTCGCGAAAGTTCCTTGAGGTTATCCAGCATATATAAGGGCATATTCGCTCTCTAGCTTCAGTTTTCTA